GGCATAGGTTTAACATTTGTAATACTAACTCTATGGAACCAATGCTAATTCTATGAACAATGTTAAGTCTATGAGCAATGAAAAATCTATGAACAATTATAAATATATGAGACTAATGCTAATCTATCTTTTGTGTAATACCCGAATTGTGGTTAACGTATAGCATCGCTGTGTGAACCTTGTTTAAATTTTTATTAAAAATTGTTAGTTGTAGAATTGTATGACATAATTTTAATAAATTAATTTTGATTTCTAGAAGATTTTTCAAAAATTTTTTTTTATATATTTTTCCACCTTTGATAGTTGTTAGTAATTGGGTTGACTTACCAATTGCCTAACCATGGCTAAACACACTCTTTATTCTTTATTCAAATTATCAATTATCATTTAGACTGAAATGTCGGTTATGTGTCAGAAGTATTGTCCGCCCGATTGTCTGGCAATCGATTATCGCTCGCGTGTTGTCAACGATAACAAGGATTACATTCAAAGGGTTTGGTATAACGACGACAGACCGGAGGACTGGTATTCAGAGCAGCGTTTGGTTTGGGACTCAACTCAACCGATGTATGTCTATAAAGATGAGCCCATTATGTCATTCCCGGCGTACATGTCATACATCGGCGGACTCTTTGGTCTCTGGTTTGGCACTAATGGCCAGCAATTGATTGTCGCCGTAATTGACAGCCGATTATGGCTTTGGTTGAGACAAATATTTGTCCGAAGGTTTTTACGTAATAATAGAATTGAGGCAATAAATACTATTTCATTGCAATTAAATAATTAAATTTCACTGTAAATTAAGTTTTAAAAATAAAATTAATTTAATAAATTAATTTCATTATTAACTTAATTTAAATTATAATTAAACTATGCTGATGATCACTTATTCCAATTATCATAAGCTTGATGTTTTGCAATTATTTATTTTTATAGTAAAAATATAAAATGCATATTGCAGATTTATATTGTGTAAAAATACATCGTTTTTAGATAACTTTTAGTTATTATAATTTTGTAACAATACATTTAAAATACAATTTATTAAATATTCACAACAATGTGTGTCTGTTTTATAGTGATTGTGACTTAAATATCGTCAAATTGGGTCACTTATTAATAGAATATGTGTATATTCTGTGAATGTGTTTACAGTATTGTGTCTAGTGTTGCCAGGTCATTTTCTGTAATTGACAGCCGATTATGGCTTTGTTTTCGACATAAACTTTTTAATAAATTTTCTAGTAATAATATTGTAAAGTTAACAATTAATAAATATAGTTTTAAAGTAAATTTTATAAAAGTGTCAGAAATATTAATTATGTATTTACACAGAAAATGCAAACATTAAAACTCAGGAATTCTGTTGTCAATGGACTTCTGAATACTGGTTAGTATAGGTTAGTAACCATTGTAATGATGCAGTCATCCAATGGTACTTCTTATTATATTTAACCCTTCGTTGAGATTATAAATAATAGTATATAAGGAATAGGTTTTTGAAGCAATAGCTCTCTTACTCTCACTACTCTTTGACTCTACACTTCTCTCCGCTCTTCTCAAACACTTAGCTTATTATTATGTAATACTTTATATTGTATTTACTCTTATTTTATATTTAATAAACAATTTTAAAATGTAATCTAAATTGTTATTATTTAATTTCTCTCTCTCTCTCTCTCTCTCTCTCTCTATCTATCTATCTATCTATCTATCTATCTATCTATCTATCTATCTATCAATATCTCGTCTATTAAGTTTATATTGTAATCTATTTCTAATGTATTGTATTATGTTTTCAATCCTATTTTTATGTATTACTTTAGCCTTCAAATTGTGAATACTGCTATTTTAGTGATGTAATGTAAAGTAATGTCATTCAACGGATTCATTCACATACGGAGTGAAAGAATTATTTCAAGCGTTAAATATGAGAGTAATGTATAATTTTTGTGGAAATTCTTTTGCGAGCGAAGAATATTATACGAAAAGGAAATTGGGATTCATATATACGGTTATAATTGCAGTCATATATTGTGTTGTTATTTATTTAATAGTATTGTCGGCTAATTATGAGACGAATTCAAGCAACAGATCGTCTATAGCTTTCAGACCACTTCTGTGCTCAACCTTTGGGATCGAGTGACTGATGCCATAAATGGCACCAATCACTAACTCTTCTTCCTCTTTTACTTACCCCATCTCTCTCTCTCTCTCTCTCTCTCTCTCTCTCTCTATAAATTTTAATTGTTACAATACAAATGACTAAATTCACAAAATGAAGTGTTTAAAATTTAAAACGCACATTTTTGAAAAATTTACTGATTAATTAAATTGTTTCTCTCTAATGTATATATATTTTTATATTTAATTTATTTTACTCAATAATCTATGACATTTAATGCCATTTGTTTTGGTATGTATAATAATTATTATAACAATTTTATTAAAGGATCGGACGTATGGATGGCTCAACAGTAATGTATGTAATTTAGTGTTAAATATTGTTCATAGTTAGAGTTAAACGTCACAATATAATACAAACCATAAATATTATTCCACTGCAATTAAATTAATAAAAGAGAGACAAACAATTTAATTAATCAGTAAATTTTTCAAAAATGTGCGTTTTAAATTTTAAACACTTCATTTTGTGAATTTAGTCATTTGTATTGTAACAATTAAAATTTATGATAGTAAAGTATAGTAATAACGTTAGTCGCAATAATCAACGTATACATCTGTTATTAAATTTTTATTTATTTCATAACCTTTTCATTGATGTTAAAATTAAAAATTTCAACAGTAATTATTTTTGTTTCATTATTAAATTTTCATTTATGTATAATTTAATAACTTTTTGGTCATAATAATCAATGTTTTACTATCAATTTTATCAATAAAAGTAATGCTTGTGGTCAAATTTTAGGTATTTGTTCATATGAAATGTACCACACTACCCTTTATAAGTGCACTTTCATTTATTAATAATAATCCAATGCGATTATATCATTAAATTTTAGTTTTACTATTTCTAATATATCTAATATAATTTTTAAACTATAATTGTGTGAATATTCAAATTAAACATTTAGAACATTTTTAAAAATAACGATGGTGTCTATCGATGAATATAAAATTGTAAACATTCTTGATCAATTATTATTAATGACGTCATACAAAGTGAGTAAATAACGATTTGTCTAACATACAGGTCTTCAATCAAGTCTCTATTAGTGACTTGAAGTAGAAAAGCCAATTGTCATAAACAACATTAAAATTATGTTTCAAAGTTTGGATTAAAAATTATTAAGCATTCAAATTATTACAAAATATTATACACAAAGGGTATAAATAATGCATTAACAATTCTAACATATTTTGGATCTACTTTTAATTGTGAACAATTTTTCCCCTAATGAAATCGATTAAAAATGACAAAACTGGTAGTATTTCCGCAAAAACATTAAGATCACGTTTGAAAATATGTTTGTCAAATACGATTGATTCAAATCTTAATAAAATTGTTAATAATCGCAAACAATATAATAAATCTCATTAAAATGTTTATTTAATAATTAAATTTTATTTTAAATGACGTTTTGTGGATAGTCTGAAAGCCAACCACTATAAAAATAGGTGGGAAACTATTATGTTGATCTTCACGCGGTGTTTCTTGTTTAATATTGACAAACCTATACTTTTTTACTGACCGTTGCGCCACCTTTTTATGGCATACTGTGAATCTGTAATTGTGATATACTAAAAAAGATTGGCCAGGCCTAGTCTAACAATTGGTTGAATTGTAATTTATTTGAATGAGTAAAACAGGAAGCGATGAAAAAAGCGCTGAAAACAGATATAATTTTAACGAAAAATATTGAAAACGACGGAAACGTGGAAATCGAAGACTCGATCGAAAAAACTGTCGAAACGATTGAAAAAACAGAGATTTCATATCAATATAATAGAGAAAAATACCATAAATATTACTTCAATGCAAAGGTATCGACAGATTTTAACGTTAAGGCGTTTTTTCTGGTGGAAAACAAAGTAATTGTCGAGGTTAATGCTGGATATGATCATGGCTATACTGAAAGGTAAATGCAATAGTACATCCCATAGGCAATCGTTTACAGTACAAACCAAAGTACGTGTCAAACCATTCACCAAAGTATCTGTTAATGAATTCATAAAGAGTGTGAAAGATATAGAAATTCCATTCCGAGCGATCCGTACGCTCACCGGCTCTGACCCGAGATATCCCCAAACGAATACACCATTGGATGGGTTAACACTATTTCTGTTGATTAACAAATACTTCAATAAGAATGACATTACAATAAAAAATAATTCACTTGTTGTTAATCAAAATGGTAAATATCGTGCATCGTTTGGTATCGAGACCTACATCCGGACACAGAATATACCAATGATTGATATAAGGAGTACAACAATCGGCAACATTCCCTACACTTCATCAACTAAGACAACCCCATTTACCTTAAGCCCGATTACAATCTCTACACCCATCACAACACTCGTCACCGATAAACCAGATTTGCCGCCATTAGCTACAAAAACATCATTTTCTTTAATGGAAATGATAACGATTTGCGTAATTATTGTTTTTGTGTTTGTAATTTTAGTGTTGTTATGGAAATTAAGAAAGTATTATTTCAACCGTAAGCGTAAGGCCAATTCCCGCATTTATAACATTATTTATTACCAAGATAAGTAATAAAAATTTTAATAAATTACATGATAAATTCTGTATTTGGAACTTTAATTAATTTTTCTTAACTCTTAATTATATACTTTTCTAATCTAGTTTTAAATTTAATTATATATAATTAATTATGTATGTTTTTCATATAATTTAATTAAAATTCAACAGAATTTTTAGTTTAAAATTACTAATTAAGTGCAACAACAATTATTATAGATAATTTAAAACAGCAACAATAAAATAAAATTTACATTCACTAAAAAGTGAACACTTAAATTGTAATCTTTACTAATAAAAATAAACAAACAAATATTATAAATGTTGTTAATTATTATTATTTATTGTTTGTATAATCCACTTAATATGATATGAGACCCGAACGGCATTTAGCTTAGAGTGTTCGGTCACTTTCAAACAGGATTCACCAGGATTTTTATCTGTAGAACTGTGTATACCAATGAGAACGGCCAGACCATTGACGTATTGAACGTAGGGGGAGCCAGAATCACCCTCATTATTATATGTTTAATAGAAATAACAGCAGTAAATAATTTAATTTTAGTAACATAATTTGTCTAATTAGCATTTATTCTCATAAAATGAGTAAGGAAATTTCAACTACTAATATAAAGTGTTTACAAGTGTTCACATACAACGTACATACCGTACAAATGTATATTACTATGCAAATCCAGTTAATATAGATTTTTCATAATCATGAATAATGTTAGTTACATATTAATGTAATTTGCAAAACTTGCGTTAATATTACATAGATAGAATTTCTTTTTTAACTGGATTTTAAATATTATTATATATATAATTATGTCATTTTATACAGTATGTACGTTATATGTGAACACTTGTAGATTTAAAGTTGAAATTAGCCCTAATATGAGTGTTTATAATGTAATCAAATGACTTACAGAACATGTGGCGGAACCGGACGGGAATGGTATGCGTTTGGCGTACAGCACGTAATTGCGTTGAAACGTATTGTTTGGGTCGTATTTAGATTTCATGATTTTAGTCCAACCGATCCGTTGAATCCCACTTCCCGTCCCGTTTGAGTTGTCAGTCCCGAAACCATTCAACAGAGCGTACTCTTCGCCCGCATTCAGTGCCATCTCTTCGGGCAAACAAATGGCGTTAATACCCGACGAACCGGACGTACCGTCCAATGGTATGGCAGTGTTGAGTCGGATTAATGCCAAATCCCAGGGAATGTATTGATTGCGTTCGTACTCGGGATAAATGAAATACTGACCGCCCGTATAGTAGGTATGGTTTGTATAGCTTTGATTAGTTAGTCCCGGGTATACGCGAATGTTTGTCGCCTTACATTTCGGACCACAACTTAAATATCAATTATTATTATTATAACCTCATAATATGCTTTGAAAAGTATTTTATAAATTATCTTATGAGTTAAATAAACTTTATAAATTATAATAGCTTTTAGGATATAACTTGCCTTGAAGCGATACAAATTAATATAGAAAAAGTATGGTATATATTCTATATAATTTTCTATGTTACTTTACTAAATTCTATATTTATTTATTCAATTAAAACATACTATAATCCGTGAGCACACGTTAGGATCCATCGCTCGTTTAGTATTACACCACTCGTTGTACCCCAACTATAAATGAAGAATATTTTAAAGTTAGTGCACAATTCGCTTGTATGAAAATGTAGTGTGTTACGATTTTTCTGGTGCAGATAAAATGATAACAATGTTCACACAGCAATGCTGTACGTTAACTACAATTCGGGTGATTAAGAAGTTAATTAGCATTATCTACACATTTAATAAGAGTCTATAGGATTAGCACTCCTCATAGACTTAGCATTGTCTATAGACTTAACATTAGTCCATAGGATTAGCAATAGTTCCATTGAATTACTTTTGTCTATAGATTTAGCATTTCCCATTTTAATCTTATATCATAGACTTAGCATTACCTATTCAATTAGCGTTGCCATAGACTTAACATTGTCCATAAGATTAGGATTACCCATGTTAAATTATAGCTATAGACGTAAGCTGTAATCCTATGTTAAATCCCATAGAGCGCAAGCCGGGAGGGGGAGGGACAACAGAACGATCCTATAAATCACATTATTCATAGCTGAATTGTGGCTAAAATTATAACATAATTCATAGACACCAGAAACCATGTTTAATAGTTAATAGTTAGAATTAATAGTTAAGCCTGAAGAATATTCCGTTATTTATATGACACCTATCAAAATAATGTATTTCTATGGGGAAAAGGGAGTATCTGTTTCGTTATTTAATAAGTGTGACTTAACCTAATCATACTCAAATAATAATAGAGATATTATCAATAATGATATTAATTATTATAGACAGTAAAAAAGGGCGATCTAGAGCTTTCTTCACAGAAAAAACTTAACTTTAGATAAAGTAATGTTTGACTCATTGCTTTGAACACAACTTTAATATTTGTGAAAATGAATTAGAAAATTGTTTTTTTCTGTGAAGAAAGCTCTAAATCGCCCTTTTTTGCTGTCCTTACTCGTAAGTAAGATTTCGTTCATTAAAGCGATGGAAAACTCAATTTTTCAACAAATTTCATGACTTCTTAACGAAGAGTATAATATACTATATTATATATTATATAAATCAGACATTTAAATCATAAGAAAAATGTCAGCATCACTCGTATTTTAATAACGTTAAATAAAATACTGTTAACTATATCGTTGATTATAACCCAAACAGTTGAGTCAATGTTTGGGTCATTTTCTCGTTATATCTGAATTAACGTAAGGATTGCTATAATTTGAGCGCAAAATTACAGCAGATATCCAAAAATATGCTGAAATGGGAACATCTCTCGAAAGAGTGAATAAAGCATACGATTTGTTAAGAAATTGAGAGACACTATGAATACAACGATAGAAATACAATGAAATACATGACCCATAAAGGTATACTCCATCTGAAGTTCAATTACAAAATAAGTAGAAAACATGAAAAATACTGACAATTTCTTCGCTCGCCTTTCAAAGCGAACTGAAAAAACTAAAAGCATTACAAAACAGATACACAAACACAACATAACTATTATATAAAAAGCACAACAAATCTATTTAGTTGTGAGACTTAACATACAATAACATATTGACCTAAATGCGAGGAAACAGACTACAGTTGGGAATACAAGTTGCAAATGATATACAAGTATTGGTCGATCACTCATTTTCACAGGATTGCATGTAATTCATATCTAACATAAATGATAATTCTATGTAACATAAATATTTTTACATATCTTTTTAATAATGAATACTTATTGAAAATGATTACAAAGAAATTCATCGATACTCTGTACAAATGTGAGCAATAGTAAGGTATGGCATACTATGAACCAAATCGGTACTCAAATACTATGTAGAGATATAGCGGGTCATTGATCCTTAAGTTAGACCACATTCAATGTTTACTTAGATTTCAAGTTACGATATGAGACAAAATGAATAGTTATTTCATTCAAATGTAAAATTAAAATAAACTAAAAGTACGGCAACTGAAATAAGGAAAAAATTTTAGAATTATGTTATAATAATATGTCTATAATATGTGGCCATCGATAAGGTATTCAATATAATGTTTAAAACAGTTAATGAGATTAATTGCATCGAAATAAAGTTAAAGCATTTTTATGTCAAAAC